TAAATTCGTGTATTAAAAGCAGCTTTAAAATCGGCAACTAGGTTGCTTCTAAGATATTTTGTAGGCTTCGACGTAATATGAAAAGCTGGTCTGGTCGCTAAAGTCTGTTTTTTTTTAAGGTCTGAATCCACACTGATAAATAATGGGCAATCAGTTGATTCATGAATGCCTTCAGTATATCGCACAGAATTGTCAATAGGACCTTATAGGCAATGGTCTGAAGGCCATATATTAGGGAATATATTTATTCATCGTACCAAAGTTTGGTTCACAGCTGGTACATGCGCCAGACCAGCTTATTGTCACCGGCTTTGAACAGCTGGACCTATATACCGTCGGCTTCCGATGCCTTTCTTGTTTTTAACCCGCCGCATTACCATGGGAACCTGTTCGTGAAACGCGTCACTTCTGTTTCCTTCGTCTGTTAACAGATTTCTATTTCCGCCTTTGCAGAAACTTGCCCTGGTCATGATACCATTCAATTGCTGCCTCATTTTCTGTTAAAATTTTCGCGGCGCAGCATCTTAAGCTTCTCGCACTCACGTCCTTCCTCCCTTCCTTATCTTCTCGTTGAAGAGTCGTCTTTCTTCCCTCCTTATTCCTCTCTACTTCAGTTAATATCTATTAAATTTTTTTCCTGGGTGGCAACCTTATTTTACAATATATGTCTAAAATGTGAGTCAATTCACTGACTAATAACTTCTGCAATAGGCACTTATATTCATATTTACTTTATAAACGAAAATTGAACCTACAAACATAGCAAATCTCTATATCTGATAGCCCTTTTTGAAAATACTTTATAGTCTTCTGAAGTTATTGGGTATTTGTTTTTTACTAAGGTTTCCATCTTTAGCGTTCACTTCCGTACATTTTTATGACCCGAGCGCACTTGTGCACAAGGGTATATTAATTTTGTTCACATAACGGTTGTTTGTAACAGCCAAAACGAATCGAAATAGATATAGACAAATGTATACATATATGCTCAGAATGAATAGAGAAATCGATTAAGCCATGTCTGTCTGTCCGTCCGTCTGTCCGTCTGTCCGTCTGTCCGTGTACACGATAACTCGAGGAAAAATTGAGATATCTCAACGAAATTTGGTATGTAGGTTTCTGCTAATCCAAGGTAGGTTGGTATTGAAAATGGGCGAAATCGGACAGTAACCACGCCCACTTCCCATATAACGGTAATTTCCAGAAATATGAAAACTGCGATATTTTAGTAACTACCGAAGATAATTCACTCAAAATTGATATTTGTAATAACTTTTAGACGAAAAATAAGAATATTATAAATTTTTGGAAAATGGGCGTAGCCACGCCCACTTATGGTTATATATGTATATCTTGGTAACCGCTGCACGAATTTCTTCCAAACTCGGCACAGTTGTTGGCCTTGATACAGCATACTAAATGGCCGAAAATTTAAAAAATCGGACAATAACCACGCCTACTTCCCATATAACGGTAATTTCCAGAAATACGAAAACTGCGATATTTTAGTAACTACTGAAGATTATTCACTCAAAATTGATATTTGTAATAATTTTCAGACGAAAAATAAGAATATTATAAATTTTTGGAAAATGGGCGTAGCCACGCCCACTTATGGTTACATGTGTATATCTTGGTAACCGCTGCACAGATTTCTTCCAAACTTGGCACAGTTGTTGGCCTTGATACAGCATACTAAATGGCCGAAAATAAAAAAATCGGACAATAACCACGCCCACATCACATATAACGGTAATTTTTAGAAATACGAACACTGCGATATTTTAGTAACTACTGAAGAGTATTCACTCAAAATTGATATTTGTAATAATTTTCAGACGAAAAATAAGAATATTATAAATTTTTGGAAAATGGGCGTAGCCACGCCCACTTATGGTTACATGTGCATATCTTGGTAACCGCTGCACCAATTTCTTCCAAACTTGGCACAGTTGTTGGCCTTGGTACAGCATACTAAATGGCCAAAAATTTAAAAAATCGGACAATAACCACGCCCACATCCCATATAACGGTAATTTAGAGAAATACAAAATCTTCGATAAATCAGTAACTATTAACGCTAATTTATTCAAAATTGATGCTTGCAACAATTCTTTACCAAAAAATATGTTTATGGTAAAATTTTGGAAAATGGGCGTGGCACCGCCCACTTATGATAACATGTACGTATATCGGTAACCGTTCTACCAATTTGTACCAAACTCGGTGTGGTTATTGTACTTGCCACATGAAAGCCAATTATTAAAAATTATTGAACTCAGGCTAAAATTACGGCCGCTTTTCATATAACGGTAAATTTCAGAAATGCTTGAAACTGCAATATTTCGAAATTTAAGGACGCTACTCAAAACTGGTACACCCCGGTTTACCATCTAGCGGTAAATTTCGGAAAGGTGAAAAAACATATATTTAATACTTGCGCCGGGTATTTAATGTTCGGCTCCGCCCGAACTTAGACTTTCTTACTTGTTTCCTTTAAGGTTGCACAATATTTTCCACTAAAAATAAGTCACTTCTTTATCCACACTAGGCCTGGGTAACGGCGCAAATTTTTTGGCGCTGGTGCACTAACTCCAGCGCCACTGTCGGATTCAGCACAGTGTGTTGGCGCAATTGCGCCTCTTCAAGCTAAAGCTCATTTCCTTTATTGCTGAACGCTCCACCAAAGTGAATTAATACAAGGTGATATCGGTTGAGAAAAAACTCAAGTATACCCAAGTTCAAAACACAAAAATACAACAAAACCATCCTTTTCACATTCAGAAGGACCGCGACGAATTCTAGCAACACCACCTTGTATAAATTCGCCTTGTGCTGCATATTTTACAAAAGACACTTCTATTTCGGGTGTTCTTTGCGACACCCGGTGTTGTCGGTGTTCCGGTGTTGAACTAAGGTGAATCAATACAAGGTGGTATCGGTTGGGTAAAAACAACTCAAGTATACCCAAGTTCAAAACCCAAAAATACAACAAACACATGATTTTCACATTCAGAAGGACCGCGGCTAATTTTAGCAACACCACCTTGTATAAATTCGCCTTGTGCTGCACATTTTACAAGTGACACTTCGCTTTTGGGTGTTCTTTGCTGGTTCTTTGCGCCGCCTGGTGTCGTCAGTGTTCCGGTGTTGCTGGCACCATTGCGTCACTGAGTTGTGAAAATCGGTATCGGCGCCAGTAACTCATCTCTCGGTATCAGCACAATGGCGCGGCGCCGCACTGTGTTACCCACGGCTAATCCACACCAATTTGGTATGTTTGCGATATTTTTATGGCTACCAAGACAATTGTGAAGAAAAATATAATTAGCCATGTCCAATGCGGCAAATGAAGTGAAAATGAAGCTCTAAGCATATTCAGAAGTGTACGTCCATTACTCAGGAACATATGAACATTCAAACATACATACATTATGTATGTATATGTATGTTTTATGTATTTACATTAGAGTGTCTCACCAACAAATGGTATAGTTTTTTCCATCGGAATTATAAAGTGTATTATAGTAAACTTTGAGTAGCATAATAACAAGTATATATACATATGTATGTACATTAGGGTGTATTACGCGCCATACAAAAAAAAAATGGTACTGTTTTTACGTCGGAATTATAACATTTATTATATTTTAAGTCATCTGCAAAATATTTCGGCAAAATATTAAGATTTACGTGAGCTGGACCGATTCGAAAATAGCTCTAAAACTGTCATTATTTTGATGCCATTGGAAAAAGTAGTTTTGAGCATTTTTATGCAGACCTTGTAATCTTAAACTCTTTTATTTTTTGGAAAAAAAAATTTAAAACTAATTTTATAAAAAAAAATTAGGTCTTTCAAATCGGTCCAGCTCACGTAAATCTTAATATTTTTTCGGAATATTTTGGCGGCTGTCTTAAAATATAATAAATGTTATATTCCAATGTAAAAACAGTACCAATTTTGTATTTTTTAATTTTTGTACGGCGAGTGATACATCCTAATGTGCATGCATGCATGTATATACATATGCATTTAAGTATGCTACTCAAAGTTTAGCAGCGCCTACGAACTTGGTGCCTTAAGTATGAGGAGTAGCAACTGAACACACATTCGCATGTGCCAAGAATTTGGGTCTGCCATTAGAAGTGGCATAGAGAGTGTTTGAACGTCGGCCATTCGGCGGCCGATTGTAGCGCTACAGTGGGCCGCACAAAGTTGGGAGCGCTTGAGGTTTGGCGCTTTTAGCTGGTTAAGTTGTATTTGCTTGTTGCTGTTGTTGTTTTTTTTTATTTCAATACATTGTTTTGAAAATATTTCCTTTGGTTTTGCTTTTGTGTTTTAGTAATTTTTTTTGCTAGCCCTTTTGTGTTGATTACTTTTTAGTACGTGCTAAGCTTTCGATGCGAACGGATGCCTATAACGGCAAAACATGCTAACGGCAATTTAATAGGAAGCATAGTAAAAGTGTAGTTGAATGCTTAAGTAGCGGCAATGTTTCGTAAACGAAAGCCATAACAATTTGAAAATGCTGAACAGGTTAAATTAAAATACATATACGCGCGAGTTACATCCTCGAATATTATATACCTACATATGTACCTTTGTTAAACATATACCTTTTAAAAAAGTTATTTTTATAATTACATTTGTCTTTATTGATATATCTAAGATTTTCTTGTTGGAAAAATGTGAAAGTTTTTCATTCAATTGTTAACGTTTAAACAAATAACATCAAAATATTAAAATATTAAATCCTTAAAAATATAAAGTTATTTAAATAATTTTGGAAATCTCCTAAAGGAATAAATAATACAATTCCTAAGGATTGTAAAAAGAAAATATTTAAAAAAGAAGTTATTCGCGCGCAACCTTTGCACTAATTTCCTGTGAATATATCTAGTACTATAGAGTATGTGGTACATATGTATGTGCATGCATACCCTAAAGTGTGTTAGTTATTTATTGAAGTGAATTTCCTTTTTTTGTTTCCAAAAATCAGGGTCTTGCTGGTGATTTGCAAAATCGTGAAACACTCTTGGACTACTTAAAGTCCTCGGCTAAGCCCCTTATCGAGACGTGCGATGTGCAAATTGTCGAACAAATCGAATCGGCCGTACAGAAAGCGGTTGTAGCTCGGAATGATACTTCAGATAATTTACAACAATTATGTACGCGTTATCAACGCGCCGTTGAATTGTGGGAGAAATATCGTAACGCATCGGCCGCTGTACGCAATTACGTTGAACAGCAAATGGATGCAGTGAAGAATTTGGAGCAACCACTGGAGACATTGCAAAATGCGAAGGTAAGTGATTGTTATTGCTCAATATATAGTCCTTGTTTTTTATTGCTTGAAAGTGCACGATTTAGCTAAAATGTCAGTATTGAAAATAGGATTTAAAATATTTAAGACTAAAAACTAGTAAATTAAGAGTATGTAAGGGATATAATCCATCCCCTTGATACCGCACGGCACGGAACTATCGATGAACTTGTAAGGCACAAGTATATGAAGTAATTATAAATTCTTAGAAAAAATTACAAGTTTTCTCCCATATTTAAACCAAAAAGAAGCTTGACAAAAACAAAAATTTGAAAATTTAATACATTTATATGTGAAGGCATGCCCCACTTTAGAAACCCTAAAAATTTTAGATTTAACTTTCAAATTTAAATACCTCTAACAGCTGATTTTACCAGCAATTTAAGTTGAAAATGATTTTTTTATTTTCTGTCAATTTTCATACAAAATTCAAAAAATTAAAATCATTTGCACTTAAATTGTTTTCGTGAAATTGGCTGTAAAATTTGTAAGTTACGAAATTTCGAAATCGGTTGCTATGGAAAAGTTAAAGTGAAGTCGTAGACAATTTTTGAAATCAAACTGAAAGGGTTACTGCAAAAAAAAAAAACCAATATAAAAAAAAAAAAAAAAAACTGAAAGGTCACGAATTTCGTAAAAAATTCCAACTTTAATAACTTTTATTTAAACAAAAATTTTGCTACTCTTCTTTCTAATAAACAATGACTTTAAAATACTTTGGGTAAAAAACTGAAAAATCACGAATTTCGTAAAAAAATCCAAATTTTTTTAACTTTTTGTTCCTGCTCTTATTTTTAATAAAAAATTACTTAAAAATACCTGATTAAAAAACCCTGAAAAATTACGAATTTCGCAACAAAAATGTCCAAACTTTCATTAAAAAAAAATACAAAAATGCTGCCACCCTTCTTTCTAATATAAATATAAAATATATAAATATTTAATAAATTACATGAAAATACCCAATTAAAAAAGCAAAAAATCGCGGACTCGGTAAAAAAATCAAAACTTTTGCAACTTTTATTTAAAAAAACTCAAACATAAAAATGGTATCAAAAGGAAGCAGGCGCAGAAGCACTGAACATTTCCTCGCTTTTATAAGAAAGCGTTTGAAAAAATATACCTAAATTTTTTCTGGTTATAATTTTTAATAAAAAAGCGCGCTTAAGTTTCTTTAAAAAAAGTCTGCTTCAAAAACTCACAACTTGTATAACTTTCATTTTTATAAACAAACCAGCCGCGAAAAGATCTAATTTTGTATGTTTTATAAAGAAGTCTTCGAACATTTTCACGTAAAGTAAACGAAAAATCGGATTGAAAAATTCCAAATATTCATAACTTTTATTTCTATAGGCAAAAAAGCCGCGCAAATAGCTAAAAATTTTAAATTTTGTTTACTGTTATTTGTATTAAAAAATCGAAGACTATCAAAAAACAAAAATTATCAAAATAAACAGGCACAAGAAGGTGAAATTTTTGTTGCTCTCATGAAAAAGTTAAAAAAAACAAAAATTTTTTTTTCAAAATCCCAATACTCTAATTTATGTTGTTCATACAAAAAGCGTCTAAAAAAGGGTTTGGCAATATATATATTTTTTCTAATTATTTCTGTTTAAAAAATGCTCGAATATGTTTTTCGATAAATCCTAAAGCTGAAATTTGTGTTGCTTATACAAAACCAATTTTCTAAACCAATTTTTTATAATTCCTGTTTCCAATAAAAGAAAACTGAGCAAATCATTTTTCGAAATTTCTCTTATTTTTTCGAAAATCCAAGAGCACAAATTTAGGTGCTCATAAAAACAGGGTTTACAAGCCATAGTCCTGTTTTCAGTAAAAAATGAGCAAATAAATTAAAAAATAATAATAAAAAAAGAGGAGGTTATCAGTTCGTCGGAATATATATATATTTTTTATGTAGATATGATACCGCATAACTTGGGGCCACGTTAACCGATTTCGATAATTTCACCGGAAAGGTGGTACCTCAAAGGTGGTCTACATACTAATTTTGTTTAGATCCGATAATTGGATCGTCAAGAAATTCTTAAATTTTTATATGAGAACTAAAGTCGGTTTTGTTTTTTTGCTTAAAAATTACTTGTTTAATATTCAAATATCGCTAATTTGAGTGCTTTAGTTAATAAAAAAAAAGCAAGAATGGAAAAGTCCCTTTTTTTGTGAGTCTTAACAGGTTTGCCTAAGTAGTTTTGCTTTTCAACGACCCATACATCTGTTTTTGAGATACCCAAACAAAAATTAAGTCAGAAGAATTGTTTTCACCGATATGTGAAATAAATCATGTTTGGGAAATTGTAAACATCTCACTAAAGCTTGCTTTAAAATATGCCCATAACTATTAAAATTTCTACAGAATATTAGTAAATATTTGCTGCTTCATGTATAAAATATTCGGTTTTTGGAGGTATTCTAACATTAGTCTAGCTCGCGTACAGCTAAACATTTTGGAAGAAGTCTTAAAAAATATAAAAATTCTATAATTCCGATGGAAAAACCGTACCTTTTTTTTTGTTTAGACAGTGATGCACCCTAATATACATATGTGCATAGTCAGTTGAAAAATTGTCTCACTTGACAACAAAATTACTGTGAAACACTTTTTTGGAAGCTTTATTCTTAGCGGTTTCGGCTTGCGACTTGAAGAGTTACAACCAAATAACCGTTGCGGGTTAAAAATATTCCCCGTTATATGTTACTGTTATAAATAAATCTTAAATTAGGTATTAGCTGTCGTCAAGATTAATCGATTATTGACCATTATAACATATAACCCGTTGTTTGTAGGTTCATTAGAGTAAAACGATCTATTAATATTCTTCTGTCAAAGGGCCTAAACCAAATACTGAGTTGGACTAACAGAAGCTTACATAGTTAAGCACATGCATACATATGTATGTGAATACTAGATATATTTATACCGTATGTACGTATGTAAATAAGTTTACTAATTAAACAATAAACACTATCCAAAAGGGATGGTCTAAATTTAGTAGATGATGCAAACTAAGTATAAACAAGTAAGAAAGTCTAAGTTCGGGCGGAGCCGAACATTAAATACCCGGCGCAAGTATTAAATATATGTTTTCCTCCTTTCCAAAAGCTACCGCCACATGATAAGCCGGCGTGTATAAATTTTAAGTAAACTAGCGTCCTTAAAATTCAAAATATTTAAATTTCAAGCATTTCTGAAATTTACTGTTATATGAAAAGCGGCCGTAATTTTAGTCCGATTTCAACAATTTTCAATGGTTTACTTTTATGTGGCAAGCACAATAACCATACCGAGTTTGGTACAAATTGCTAGAACGGTTAGCGAGATACATATACGTGATCATAAGTGGGCGGTGCCACGCCCATTTTCCAAAATTTTATCATAAACGTATTTCCTGGCAAAGAATTGTTGCAACCATCATTTTGAATAAATTAGCTTTAATATTTACTGATTTATCGAGGATTTCGTATTTCTCGAAATTACCGTTATATGGGATGTGGGCGTGGTTATTGTCCGATTTTAAAAATTTTCGGCCATTTGGTATGCTATACCAGGGCCAACAACTGTGCCAAGTTTGGAATAAATTGATGCAGCGGTTACCAAGATATACATCTGTAACCATAAGTGGGCGTGGCTACGCCCATTTTCAAAAAATTGTTAATATTCTTATTTTTCGTCTAAAATTTATTATAAATATCAATTTTGAGTGAATTATCTTCAGTAGTTACTAAAATATCGCAGTTTTTGTATATCTGAAAATTACCGTTATATGGGAGGTAGGCGTGGTTATTGTCCGATTTTGCCCATTTTCAATACCATCCGTCCTACGCCCGAAAGAAGTACACGTACCAAGTTTCGTTAAGATATCTTAATTTTTACTCGAGTTATCGTGTGCACAGACGGACGGACAGACGGACGGACGGACGGACAGACAGTCACCGCTTAATCGATTTCTCTTTTCATTCTGATCATTTATGTATACATTTGTCTATATCTATCTCGATTCGTTTTGCCTGTTACAAACAACCGTTATGTGAACAAAGTTATAATACCCTTGTGCACAAGTGCGCTCGGGTATAAAAAATAGCCAACTGTTGGGGGCGTGAATTCGTGTTAGAATTACAAATCATTTGTAAAGTTCAACAGCTCAAGTTTGTTACTTATTTTAATCAGCAGCTACATACATACGTGCATGCAAACAAAATAATCTGAATTGATTACATAAAAATATTGTGAAGGTCAGCATTCAGTAGTCAATAAAGTAAAAATTTGCTTGTAGGGTTCTTAAGAAGCTTCCATTAAATAATTCGGATCTACTTTACAAACCGTGGAATAGCACATTTCATAGTGCTCATATGAGTATTTAGTTTAAAAATAGAAAATCGGCCTGAATTGGAAATAAAACTTGTATCAAAGTGACGAGGCACAACTAGACTTAGTTGTCCCGAAGAGAGACTAATCTGATTTTCATTGCATCGGCTAGAAATAATGTCTCAGATATAGAGTCTTGCAAGATATCAAAGAAGCTCTAGCCTTACTATAATAGGACGGAGACTTCCAGTCTGCATAATTAATCAATGATAGAAGTATTCAGAGTAGTAGCCACACTCATCTGGCACTGGCCTCTAGGCAAGCATGTGGCAAGAATAGGACTTCCCTATAATACGTAAATACATAGAACTTGCCGCAACTGTTCTTTCGAATATTAGGTATAAAGCGCTAGGAACATCATGGAAAAAAATTTGGGGAAACTATAAGCAAAGTATGTAGTTAAATTCATTTGGAAATCGAGGTGGTTCTGAATTTTCAAACATGAAATTCATTTTTTTAGTTCGTGAAAATCCTTTGCAAGGAATACCGAATATCTGCTTCTTCAAGTGCTTTCTGACTCATGTGGTATACCGGAGTATCTTAGACTGACGATCCTGTCCTATTGGAATTCGCGTTGTAAGGCTAAACTTAATCCAAA